GTTCTTACAAATTCTCTGGGACAGAAAGCATGGGAGCTAGAAACTTAGGTAATAGATTAAATATCTGCACTGCTTCTCTCTAAGACCTTTAAACAGCACCTGACAGCATATATCTGGGCCACACCCACTGCACTTTGGAATTAAAAGGGCCATTTAAAAATGCTGCTTTTAAATGTTGGTGTGGGGAGTTGCGAAGAAAAACAACAGTTCAGAAATTCATGTTTCCACGTTTCTCTTTTAAAAGATTTTCACATCATCCTTCAAAATTTTCTAGGGCAGTTTAACTAAAGCTCTTCTGTACTGTATTTCCCATTCATTGTTCCAGTAATATGCTGATGTGAAGCTCCAAAGGCAAACCTATGAACCTAAGGGGTTTTTTTTTGTTTTGTTTTGTCTCAAAGCCAAAGGATGCCATGCCATATACACCATTGCCTTTCAAACCTCAGCGTCCCTCCAGTTCAGTACCAGCCCTAAAAGTTATTGGAGCCTTGTACTCAGTTGACATTTAGCCAACTACTGCACTATACTTAGAACTGGGTATAAAAGAGCTGGGTGTGCTCTTAGTCATCCCTTTGATTTAAGATGCACACATTCAAGGTTAAGAGCACAACATGGATGGACTTACATGGGAAGGCTGCTCAAGAAATGCAGCACGTAGGAGGGGTTCCTAAGGTCACCCAGCTATCTGATTGGCCTGGAGGTGGTCAATAAATCCTTCTGGGACAGTTAAATCCAGTTTTTGGATTGGCAAGGAAGAAAGGCACTCTTGACCAGATCTCCGACCTTTTCCTGGTGTAAATGCATCTTTCTTTACTCAAGTTGTTAAAGCTCCCCATCTCTAGTTAGAAGCTGGGAAGAGTGTTGGCTTCACACCAATCCAGACAGGCTGTCCTCTACTGCACAGGTCCCCGACCTGTTGGCCACCAGGCCGCAGGAATAGCTGGCAAGCCCCCCCAACTCACGGGCGCTAGCAGCCCCGTTTGTGCATGCTAGCACCACCAGCATCACACGGGCCTAGGAGCTTGTTTGTGCATGTGCGCGGGTACCAGCAGCCCGTTTGCACATGCATGCAGATGCCAGAGCGTTGCTGAGGGTGCACACAGCTCGCATGTATATGTGCCGCTGCCATGCACATGCCCGTTTGCATGACCGCGCACGTCGGCCGCGCGTGCATACATTTCCCTGCTCCTCCCTTTCCTTCCGGGCCGCCAAGCTGGAAAGATTGGGGAACTCTGCTCTACTGTATTGTTCAACCCACCTGGATGCTTCAGTTAAAACTTAAAAAACCGACTCACCAAATGAGGACAGCTCAATTTATGCTCTAATAATTGGATTATTTTCCAGGTGGCTCTGATAAAGTGCCAGAGAGCCCATTTTACAGCTGGTTTATTTTTTAGAACAAATCCTTTTTCTTGTGTTCCTTCAGGTATTCTTAATTTGTGTTGCACTGGCTCCCAAGGAGTGCAAGGAGAAAAAAGGGATTACCCTGCAGAATACTAGTACACTGAAGGAAATAGATTTTGAGTTTATACAGGTAGTCCTCAACGTATGACCACACATTTAAGTGAGTTTTACCCCATTTTATGACCGTTCTTGCCACAGTCGTTCAGTGAATCTCTGCAGTTGATAAGTTAGTGATACGGTTAAGTGAACCTGGCTTCCCCATTGACTTTGCTGGTCAGAAGGGGATCGCAAAAGGGGATCACATGATCCCGGGACATTGCAACCGTCATAAATGCGAGTCAGTTGCTAAGCGTCTGAATTTTGATCACATGGCACGGGGATGCTGCAAGGGTCATAAGTGTGAAAAACAGTCATGTCACTTTTTTCAGTACCGTTGTAACTTCAAGCAGTCACTAAATCAGTGGTGGCGAACCTATGGCACGGGTGCCAGAGGTGGCACTCAGAGCCCTCTCTGTGGGCACACGCGCCGTCGCCCCAGTCCTGGGCCTTCAGCTGGGTTTTATAAAACCTTTTTGCTTTAGGCCTCCGCCGCCATGTGCAAAAAAAAAAAAAAAGGTTCAATCAGTCAATTTCAACTTCTCACGGAAAAAAAAAGTTCTTGCAAAGTTGGAATTGATTGATTGAACTTTTTAGTCCCACCCAGTCTGCTGTTACCACTGCAGCCACGCCCACCCAATGGGCCACACCCACCCGGCACTCGACGATGCATAAGTGGGTTTTGGGTTGCAGTTTGGGCACTCAGTCTTTAAAAGGTTCGCCATCACTGCACTAAATGAACTGTTGCAAAGTCAAAGGCTACCTGTACTCACTGCTATCCACAAGATTTGGGAACATAGGGAGTGCTAGGGGAAAAAAAAAATCCAACTCTACTCAACGTTTTATCTTAGGAGCCTCTTAAAAGTCTTAATAGCTAAATCTACTTTCCATCTGAATTATCAGTTGCTGGAGTCTCAACAAAGGAAAGTACTTTTTAGGAGCTTGATACATCTGGCCTGACCAATGATTAAAAAAAAAAAGATACTTGAAATGGCCAAGCGAGGCTCCTTCCCAGGTGTAGATGGCCCGGACAACATCTGGCCCTTGATTTAAGTGGGTGGCCTCCTTGTGTACAGCAGCATCCACCTGCTCCTTTTGTGGGCATCTCATCATGGCCGGCAAAGCTGTTGAGGCTGAGCAGGTGCCAAGAGTTAAGGGCAGAACTCTCCCTCCTGCTCCAGGAGTCCAGGGTGAGCTTTCTACGTCTATTTGCAAACTGCAGTTTCCTTGGAGCACAGCCCGAAGGCTTTTAGGCTATGGCGGCTAACCACAATGCATCAGGAGAGGAAGAACAACATTAATAAAAATAAAAGAGGGAGGGAAGGATTGAGACATGATTATTTTTAGTTGCTTAACGCAGGCTTCAAAGTATTTGTACAGCTCCTCCTCGTGTGCAGCTATTCTAGACGCAGACCTGGGGAGGAGTGAGTGAGTCACCACACAGCTGAGCCAACGCAGGCCTGCCGAAGCAAGTCTGAAGAGTGTGCTCTTGGGAGGGGGGGCACCTGCCCCCGAAACAAAGGCCGACTGTCTGTTCACAAGAGTCATGGAAAGAGCAACAGAGAAGGTGGTTTTCCTTGAGGGTCATACCATGTGCAGTTTGCTTACAGGAGAGACCGTATGGAATCACAATTTGCCCTCCCCCTCCCCAAATCATATATAGGTAGGTCCTCAACTTATAACTGTAGTGGTATGGGATTTCATTATGAGCTGTGCTGGCACAGTAGTTAGAATGCAGTATTACAGGCTAATTCTGCTCAGGAATAGCCAACGCTCCAGAAGACAGGCTTAAGATACAGGAGGACCTGGACACACTTGAACACTGGGCGCTATCTAACAAAATGAAATTCAATGGTGAAAAAAGTAAGGTTCTACATTTAGGCAAGAAAAACCAAATGTACAGGTATAGTATAGGGGGTACCTTGCTCAATAGAGTAACTGTGAGAAGGATCTCAGAGTCCTAGTGGACAATCACTTAAATATGAGCCAGCAGTGTGCTGCAGCTGCCAAAAAAGCCAACATTAACAGAGGGATAGAATCAAGATCACGTGAAGTATTAATACCACTTTACAATGCCTTAGTAAGGCCACACTCGGAATACTGCATCCAGTTTTGGTCACCACGATGTAAAAAAGATGCTGAGACTCTAGAAAGAGTACAGAGAAGAGCAACAAAGATGATTAGGGGACTGGAGGCTAAAACATATAAGGAACGGTTGCTGGAATTGGGTATGTCTAGTTTAACAAAGAGAAGGACGAAGGGGGACATGATAGCAGTGTTCCAATATCTCAGGGGCTGCCACAAAGAAGAGGGAGTCCAGCTATTCTCCAAAGCACCTGAAGGCAGGACAAGAAGCAACGGGTGGAAACTAATCAAAGAGAGAAACAACTTAGAACTAAGGAGAAACTTCCTGACAGAACAATTAACCAATGGAACAACCTGCCTCCAGAATCTGTGAATGCTCCAACACTGTAAGTTTTTAAGAAGAGACTGGACAGCCATTTGTCTGAAATGGTGTAGTGTTCCTGCCTGAGCAGGGGGTTGGACTTGATGACCCCCAAGGTACCTTCCAACTTTATTATTATTATTATTATTATTATTATTATTATTGTTGTTGTTGTTGTTGTTGTTGTTGTTATTATTATTATTATTAAGGTTGACTCAGCCTTCCATCCTTTTGAGGTTGATAAAACGAGGACCCAGATTGTTTGGGGGGGGGGGGAGGGAATATGCTGACTCTGTAAAACCGCTTAGGGCTGTAAAGCACTTTGGAGCGGTATATAAGTCTTAAGTGCTGTTGCATGTCATGTCGGTCGTTAAGACCCTCATGTGACCAACCCATGTTTAACATTTTTGTCATTAAGCAAACCCATTGTCCTCAATGGACGGTTTTTTGACAGAAACCAGAGGTACGTGCTGATTTCTGGCAAAAAAAAAAAAAGTTGCCTATCGTGGTCCTATCAACGCCAAGATGCTGCAAATGGCTGTAAATGCAGGCTAGCTCCCGAGTGCCCAAAATGCAATCAAGTGAATGTGGTGGTGGTGGGGAGGAGAGCAGCCATGGAGCTTCAAATCCGGGTCATAAAAACCTTTGGAATTGATGTGTGTGTGTGTGTGTCCGTTGTAACTTCAAAAGATCACTAAGTGATTGGTCATAAGTTGAGGACTACCCGTAATAACTTTCACAGCAAATAGGCTTCCAAATGACATGAATCCCACCCTTCCAATCTGTAAGAAAAGGTGCAGTCCCATTTTCCTAATGAAGAAAAACGAAGGCCTCAAAAACAAGACAACATTCACTTGAATTTCAAAGGTAGAAAGCAAAACAAGATCTGTACAAGAGAAAAAAGATGCTACATGCAAGAGAAGAAATCCGACACATGCCAGAAAAAGGGAGTTTTGCCTGTTCTTGAGTGTGATTATTATTATATCTGGAGAAGAGTTTCTACAGTGCCCCTCATTAACATACCCACCTCCTTTTTCTAAAACATACACACACATTAACAGATAAAACTTTATTCCACCTGTAACAGACAGCAGAGGCCAAAAATGTGTAAAAATGTTTTTACCCAAAATATTGCAGCTGCTTTTTTCCCCCTCTCTCTCAGTACTGACTAACGGGCAGTGTTAAGTGCTGCTTTTAAAATGGTATTTTCAGAAGTGTCATCTGAAATCCAGTCTTTACCCTCTACAGCTGAGGCATCTAATTCCATTCGGCACACTTTGAAGCGTACGTGTGGAGCTTGTGAAATTTCACTTCCTGTGTGGGATCACTAGAAAAGTTAGTCAGAACGGATGGAGACCGGCCTCTGGACCCAGTCATTTGAAGTACAGCTTTTTCTAAATTTTGCCTTAGTTTGAGGCTCGCCATGGGTCACGGATATTCTCACTTTGGGCTACAGAAAAGCTACTTCAACTGGGCAAAAGAGGCCACATTTCAGCTGTTTAAAACAGAAATTCAGCAATGAAAATAGTCTCTGTAAGTCACTGAAGGTATCATTTCTGAAACTGGGTGAAAAAGTAAACTTTTGAAAGGTGAAGTTGTTCTAGAGCTAATTCCCTCTTCAAAGTAGTCCAATCCTTAAAAAAAATGATCTCGCAAGGCAATAAAAAGATTGCGAGGTAAGCTGTTTCATTGCTTTTAATTCTTCTCCTCAGCTAGGAGGAAAAAACAACATTCACTCTCCAGCTGCTAAATTCTGGGAACTTTGGCTACCGAGAACCCAGGATTGCAAATCTTCCGCACAACACAATCAAGTTTTTTTTTTGCTTGCTTAAATGCTTTTCATGGTTTATCAATTAGAATGAAACTGCTCACACAAAAACTGCACATTATCGCTCCAATTTCAAAAATGTGAACTTGGCTACCGTAGCAATTTCAAGGAGAGGGGAGCCAGTTGAGCACTCTCCATCAGCGCCCACTCAAACAGAAGATGAACTACGTGCTTGAGCGGTAGAACACCTGTAAACCCTCCTAAGATGTCTAATGTCCCAGTTATTCACATTTTTTAAAAAAAATTACAACTTTGTTTTGTTAAGAGGAGACAGCAAACCAATCTGTCCCAATGACGCAGCATTTGGGCGCCGAGCACTTCCTGGCCACAGTTCAGCTTCTCACTGCTTCGCTGCTTGTCTCCCTGGCTTTTTTTCTTGTTGTCCTCGGCCACTTCCTGGGGCCCCTCCTCGGCCACGGCCTCCAAATACTCCTGTAAACAGAAAGGGGAGGATTATCTCCAGAAGGGAGGGACTTGGAGCAGGGGTCCCCAACCAGGGCTGTGGAGTCGGAGTCGGGGAGTTGGATTCGGAGGAAATTTTGGGTACCTGGAGTCGGAGTCGGAGTCGGCAAACCATGCACCGACTCCGACTCCTACTAAATTTAGATTGGAATTTCACAGATTTTGTTTTTTGGTTCATATAGATAAGCTTTGTTTTTGTTCTAAAACAACCAAATAATGTCGTTTGTATTTTTGAACTGGTAAAGTTCCTGTTCCTGAACAAATACGGACGACGATGATAGGTCGGTGAACTAATTAATTTAATTATTTTTTTTTAATTATTTTGAAACAACAAAAGTAACACAAACAGAAAACGAATTTGACAAGTTATGTCATCTGACAACCGAAGGGTCGGTCATCAGGACACCATTACTGTACATAGTTGCCTTTCTTTCCTTCAAGGAATGTATAAAATACAGTCGCATATTAATACAGAGGAGTCGGAGTCGGGGAGTCGGAGTCGGAAGTACAAAAAACTGAGGAGTCGGAGTCGGAACATTTATCTACCGACTCCACAGCCCTGTCCCCAACCCCCAGTCCGTGGCATGCCAGCAACCGGTCCACACAAACAAGCAAAGCCCCATCTGTGGGATGCAGGTAGCACACAAAAACCACGCACTCCCCGGTCCGTGGAAAAACCTTCCTCCATGGAACCGGTCCCTGGTGCCCAAAAGGCTGGGGACCTCTGACTTGGAGACAATTCCACCCACATCACACAACTATATTATCAACCAGAGCTCTCCGAGATCAATCTCTGCTAGGTTTTTATGACCAGTACTGATCAGCACTGTGTCAATGTTCAGGTGCTTTGTTTAACAATTGGTTGTTGAATAGGCCACTTAAGTCGTATTTATTAAATTTTTATCCCGCCTTTATTACTCTATAAGTTACTCAAGGCAGCAGGTATAAATATTCCTTCCTTTTCCTATTTTCCCCACAACAACCCTGTAAGGTGGATTGGGTTGAAAGAGAGTGACTGGCCCAAAGTCACCCAGCTGCTTTCATACCTAAGGCAGGACTAGAACTCACTGTCTCCTGGTTTCTAGGCCAGCACTTAGCATGCTACACAATGTAGGATTAACCCTGCTGGACCAAGCAATCTAGCAACTTGCTGCCAATAGGTGCTAGAAACACGCATCCAGGCTAAAGAAACCCATAAACCACTGCCTCCTTCTACTTGCCCTCACCTTTGGTATTCAGAATAGAATGCCATTTAGCAGGTTTTTAACCGTCATGGAAAAATAGGGGTCAATAGACCTATTGTCTGTGAACAATAACAGATGCTACTCTATTTCATGTGTGAATTCTGTCCAGTTTGAAATCTTCAGTCAATTACCATGGTCTTCTATCTCAATCAAAAATATAAATACAGGCCTCTAGGAAACAAATTTGCCCACCCCCAATTTTCCTTAACTGGGACGGAGAGGCAGACAAGCAAACATACAAGAATGTGGTTATCTTCTGCAGAAGGCAAACCCAGAAATCTTTAAATGAATATTGGACAGCTGAAGCAATAGCTATTAAATGTCAGCTGGAGAATTGGTATGTTCAGAGGCAATCTACCCCTGAATAGTTGCTGAAGGGCAGTTAATATGCCTTCCTGCCCTGGGAACATCTGGTTGATTGCTATGTGAAGCAGGATGCCAGAATCCAGGAAAATTCATTTCTTACTCCTTAGCTAAACCTTGGCCATCAGCTGTCATGGGTAAATCTGTACATGCTACTTCACCATAAGCTGCAGGGTAGTTGTGGAGTCAGATGGCCTTGAAACTGAAATGTTAAGTTATAGTAAAAATATACTCCAATCAAAATGCATCACCGCAGAATTCTGTAATCCTTGCATCCAAGTCTATGTTGCCACATATGGATACAATGGTTTGTCTTGTCACCCAGTTTAACAAATTGAGAGATCTGTGCCATTGAAATTCCTGTGTTATATCTGGAATGGGTGACAACAATAACTATTTGTAGGCACTGTAATTTTTAAAAGGCAATGTTAGTATGTCAGCATTAACCAGAAGCTGGGGAGTGTGGTAACAGTAAACAGCAGAAAACCACCTGTATTTTGTGGTGCTTAAGAACTTTCCCTAAGATGTCTGGATATAGAAGACTTGATGAAATTCACCTTTCAGCAAGTGCCAGGCAAAAAACCTTGTGGATGCTATCCTTATTCGCCTCGCAAATGTGGGATTCCCAGAATGTTTAAAAGACCATAAGCCAGGCTACTGAAGAATCTTTCCAAACTCTGGTTAGGTCTGAAGGAATTGACTAGCTGGAGGCACAGTTACAATAACACTTTGTAGGCACAACACAGCAAAGTTACTACTTTGGAAAGCAGAACATAGAATAATAAGGTTGGAAGGGACCTTGGAGGTCTTCTAGTCCAACTTCCTGCTCAAGCATCCTATACCATTCTAGACAAATGGCTGCCCTGTCCCTTCTTAAAAACCTCCAGTGATGGAGCACCCACCACTTCTGGAGGTAAGCTATTCCAGTGATTGATGAGACCTTGGGAGAGCAAACCAAATTCTCAGGGCCATTGAGAGTTACTGTTCTTTTAATGTCCCAGGAGAGTAACGTGTAGTCTTCCAAATGCCTCCAGAGGAGACTTTTTGAGTTAAACTTCAAGGATACTAATGATTTATCTTTTAAACAATTCTTATGCCAATTATAAGTAGCTAACAAAAAGGCAGGAAAGTACTCTGCCTTGAAACCTGCTGCATATGGGGGAAAAATAATTAATTATGATAACTGGAAGAACATTTGTTTTGCCCTCCCAGTCTCATTCAGAGGAAACGCAGCCAAGCTGAGACACAGATAGATACAGATAATTCAGGGGAAGGAGTAGATAGACAGGTTTTCCTCTTCTTCAAATTATGATAATTTGATAAACTGCTGGCAGTAGGGCAGATGAAAAGGAACTTCACACAGCATCCATAGATGGGTGGAATTCACAATGTAACAAAGGCTGTTAGATGACTTTAGTATTCATGGAGATCTTCTGAGGAGCATTAACAGAACACTCCACCTCTACTGACAACTGCCCCAGTACTAAAGAGCTGAAATGTAGTATATTCCAGATGTTAACATCAGCTAGGATACTAAGGCTTACTGGAAGGCTGTATCCTACACTTTGCTACAAGAACTGAAGCAAGGGGATACTAACCCAATCCCTTACATTGGCCAAAGCCTGAATAGCTGCAGACTCCGCTTTACCATTCCTGCCATAGAGCTCAGCTCCTACTGAAACAGTGGTGAATGGGTGAGATTCATACCTGTTCTTAGTCAGGCTTAATTTAGCCAGGATTTTCCCAAATAAACCATGATACGGCTTCAAACAAAATCCTATCTAAAAGGAACACATTCTGATTTAGTGTAGAGTTTGAATGGCATCGTTCAGGAAGTTTTCAATCCCCATGGCTCCAAGTGTTGTGACTTTAACGATCGTGGGAAAGTTTCCCAACTTCTTCCCAAGATTTTAAAAAGAGGACTCACCTCGCCCAGTGCCACCGATGCCACGTCCTTTCTGCTGCTTCTGTTGCTGCATCCCACCACGGCCACGGCCTTTGGAGACCACTTCTTCTTTCACCATGTCGATGATCTCATCAGGAATGCGCAGGTATTTGATGGTGCTGCCACGGATGTAACATTCAGGCATCCTCCAGAATTTGTCTCCATCCTTTCCAAGAAAATACACGAGGAAGAAGGATGAAGCACCAGACCGTGGTTGCTCTCAGTAGCCTGGATTTCGAATTTTCAATTATATTAAAAGCAGGACATCGAGACTCAATCGGTTTGTTTCCATAGAGCATCAACCTGGTGGAACTCTCTAGTTTCCTCTTTCCGCTATGTATTCAAAACAGACAGTGATTTTTATATACTTTCTTTTGAGAGCAGGCAACAGAATTTCATTTTTATTGTGGGCCAGTCTGCTCACAGTAAAAAAAAAAAAAGACAATAAAGGTTAATTTATCTTATCTGTTTTATCTTATATTTATTTATTTATTTATTTATTTATTTATTTATTTATTCCTTATCATTTTACAAAACAACGGTCTGATTAAAAAATCAGTATCTTGGAAAGGTAAGACCAAATATTTTTTAAATCTTCGAAAAATAATATTCAGCACGTCAGACGTATGTCAAAAGTTCTTTTTAATCATATTAAAAAATGGCTTAAAGCACCTATAAAAGTTATTTTAAGAGTTTAATAGGGAGAATTCTCACTGCCTTCCCATTGTTTGTGACCCATTAATACTATGGGTTCTCTTCCTGAACCAAATATTGGTTTTCCCTCTCAAATTTCTCTCTGTTAAGAAGCAAAATGTTTTTATTTCCTAAAAGGCTGTCAAGGCCCAACCAATTTGGTATCTGGAGGGAGAAGTCAGGCTGACAGCACCACCTAGTGGGCAACTAGCAAATATAAAATATTTAGAAACAGACGTGGGATCACCAAGATTTGAGTTTAGACAGTGGTTCTCAACCTTTTTAATGCCGCGACCCCAACCGGTCGTAAGTCGAGGACTAAACCGGTCGTAAGTCGAGGACTACCCAACCGGTCGTAAGTCGAGGACTTTCCCTGCCCGGGAGCGCCACGCATGCGTGATTCCGCCCCCTGCGCCGGCGCTCCGCATCGACCGTTCGCCGTCTCTGCCTCGTCCGGCTGGTGGTCGACCGGGTCGGGTTCCCTCCATTCCGTGGGCGGCCTTTTCCCCTTTTTTTACCGCCTGTTTTTTTTACCGCCTGTCGGAACGAACCGCTGGGGGCACTTTACCAGCTAGCTGGGGTTTACCCCAGGGCTCCCACAGGTTGAGAACCACTGGTTTAGAAAGTAATACTCAACCTATGCCTTATTTGCTTAATGACCAAAGTTAACATGGCACTGAAAAAAATTGATGTACAACTGGGCCACACAACTGTTGCACTGTCTCCGTGGTCACATGATCAAAATTTGGGCCTTGGCAACTGGCATTTATGATGTTTCCAGTGTCCTGGTGGCACATGATTGCATTTGTGATTTTCTCAGCCAGCTTCTAACAAGCAAAATTGATGGGGAAAGTCAGGTTTGCTTACAACCATGTGATTCATTTAATGACCATGGTGATTTGCTTAACTGCAGCAACAAAGGTCAAAGTACAAGCAATTCCTAAAGCCTATATAAATGTTTTCTACAGGATCATTCTTCTGATTTCATTTCTGTCATATCAAACATATCAAACACAAGGCCTGGGGGTCAGATGCGGCCTGCGAAGTGGTTTCATGTGGCCCACAAAGCCATCCTGGAAACAGTGAGGGAACGGCCCCCGCTGCCTTGGCCCTGGCCCAGGCTGCGTTTCTTGCCTGTTTTTCTCCCTCCCTCATCTCAAATATTTCCCCACCACTCTGTTCTTAGGAAGGAAGAAAAGAAAGAAGGAAAGAAGGAGAGGGAGGGTCTGAGATAAATCCTGTTTTAGTCCTGCCCTGCTGCCCTTTCGCCATCCCCTTGCCCCTTCCTCCTGGCCTATCCTGGGGGTCTCCCGTCCTATTGCTAAGGAAGCTTTGGATACAAAGCCGGGTCTCCTCCCATGGAGAGGGAATGGGCCTCCCTCTGACTTTGCCCTTGTACCCATCATGAGCAACCTGGCTAAGGAGAGCAAGCACAGCAGCAGCAGCCTTGAGGAGGAGGTAAGTGCAGCTGGGCGCCCCCTTGGGGAAGTGGGGCTGGGCTTGGTCCCGCGGGTGCTCGTGGGCCAGGCTGGGCATTTGACCTCTGCTGCCCAGAGCTCTGGGCAGCCCGCACCACCATCCAGCCCCCCCGCATGGCCTGAGAGGAACAGTGAGGCTCCTCCAGTGGACTATGCCTTGGCACTTGCCCTGGTCCCACCCCCTTCTGCCAGAGACCCTCAGATCTGTCCCACTCCTGCCCAGGCCCCCACAGGCACCCTCGACGCGAACAATGTAGAGCTGGCCATGCCCACACAATAGGCCACACCTACTCCACGCCCACCCAGTAGGCTGCACCCACCCTGGCCACACCCATCCGCCCCACCCCTCCGAGGGCAACCACAATGCTGATGCGACCCTCAATGAAATTGAGTTTGACACCCCTGTCTTACTTTGTCAAAACTGGCAGCCCTCGTCCATAGCAGAAAAGCATAGCGGCTGTCCTTACCCTTGATGTGCAAATAACTTCTCGAAGATTGATGTTCATCCAGTTATCACAGCTAACCAAGTGGCCATTGTAAGTTTCACCATTTTTGAGTTCCACCAGCTGAAAAGACCAAACAAGATCAACAGAGAGTACAGTAGTGCAATTCCGTTAAGAAACAGTAGTTCATTCTCATAAAACAAAAACCTGTTTTCTTCCTCGCCCATTGCTATTTCCTCCATACATACATACATACAACATATCCAATAAGCTACTGCCTTTCAGAGTTAGGCACCACGGTTATTAGATGGAAATATTTAACAAGTAAGTGCTGGAGCATATAACACCAGACATCTCACTAGAAGGCAAAAATCACAAAACCGCATCTCGCTTATTTTGGCCATGTCATCCAGGGGAATTTACTGAAGAAAGCATTTAGGCTTGGAAGAGTTAGCGGTAAAAGGAAACCAGGATGCCAAAGAACATGGCGGCTGGACACCACCAAAGCTGACCAGCCAGAGCATAGAGAAACTCAAGTAGTGCAAGACTGGAAGATGGGGAGAGACCTGGCCCACAGAATCGCCAAGAGTCAGACACGACTGATTGGATAACACCATCATCACAATCATTTAACATGTACAAATCTTACCTAAGTTTAAAAGAATACTGTTGTCAAAAAACTTTTGCAGACTATTTCAGATTCTATTTGTCTGCCACCCCCCCACACACCTCTATAACTGGGGAGGATTCCAATTAATTTTTCTCTTGACAAATGCACTTTTTTCACCCAGTGAATTCAGTTTCATAGGAGCATTTAATTAGAGGGGTGACTTCAGAACCACTTTTTTTGAATGTTTCAGTCCTGAAACAAAATAGGCCACGTGAATCAAGGGTGTATTTTTTTTCAAAAGGCAACTGGATTTTGTTTTTCCTTGAAGACATTTCTCTTCTCATCCGAGAAGCTTCTTCAGTTCCTCATCCAAGAAGCTTCTTCGGGAACTTTTCTTCAGGAAACACTTATAGGCCACGTGTACTGTAACTTTGAATAACTGTTTCACCTACTGCAATTGGATTTTTAAATAGTAAAAATTTCAGCCTAGCTCTTGTCATTACTTCAGAGTGGATGGGAACATCTGGAACTTGGAATGCTGGCACAAAATAGCATCGGGCCCAGTGAATGTCCATGTATACATAGAACTGTGCATCTCATTTAGTGGTTGTTAAAAGTTCGTTAACTCTTTTGAATTTCTAATATTTCTGCATACATTTCTGCATAAAACATATGTTCTCCATATTTCCTAAAACTAAAGAGAACCCAATTAAATGAATAAGTCCAAACACACGACACTTGTCCATTTATTTATTGAGGAAAATAATCCAAAGCTACATATCGAAAATTCAAAAAGGTCCACAAACTTTTAAGCACCACAGTGGATTAATGCACAACAACTATGATAAGGTTGGTTGGGTTTGATGAACGTGAGAGATGCTTTCACTGATTTGTGTACTCTGTGCATGTTTTTGTATCTCATCGGCAATTATGTATTTTTTTAACTCTCTATCTGTAAGCAAAAGTAGCAGTGAGGACCAATATAGGGGTTTTATTTGGCTGTGCCTGGTAGGAATTATATTGGCTGCAAGATAACTTTCAAGGCGCTGGGTGTCACCTTTAAAGACTTGCATACCTCCAAGCTGAATCTAGCCATCAGACAGGAGACTTGCTGGGGGACTCAACGCTAAAGGAATGCTATCTTGAGGGGCTCTGGGCTTGAGCTTACTCAGTGACAGCTTTCCTCCTTTGGGAAAACTACTCCCAAATATCCACACCATCTCCTCTTTACTCTGTTTTCTGACATCATTAAACATATGGCTCTTCAAAAAGGCACTAGGAGATGAGTAAGATCATGTTCCACTTGAATATCTGTGCATCAGACAGACTTTATTAAGATCAGTTATAATAAATATACACCACTTAAATTAGCATACTACATGCTATCACACTATTAAGTACTTTTTATTATTTGAAAACTTTCCACCGATGGGCCACTAAGTGAGCAAGTTTGATATTCAGAAAATTAACAGCTGCAATGTATATTATATCATTAAGGGTATTTTCAATTTAACATTTTCACATCACTTCTCTGGTTTTTTGTTATTCATTTTGGAAGCTTTGCTCTCATCTTTGAAAAGATTAAAAAAGTTGTATTATTGGATCTTCTACATGTTACACAGCTTTATATCTTTATATTTTAAATTACCCAGCATATTATTTTGTAATACCACATATAAAACATTGTTTAAAATCAATGCAGAGTGCTTACATTTAAAAAGTATTTTATATAAATGCATTGCTTTGCATATTTATATTATTGAAAATCTTTACAGGCCAATAGATATGGAAGTGTAATGTACAATAATTAATACAATTTATTCCTTTGAAAAAAATCAAAGCACTGTTACCAAATTTCCATTTAGACACTAACTGGAACAACAGCTTTGCTAAGCATTAAATATTTGCAGGTTAGTCTCTGATCCTAGCATAAGATATACAAAAGACGGAAGCCACAAAAAGCATCAAGAATTAAAGCAAATACAGGTAGTTCTCGACTTACAAAAGTTCATTTAGCAACCATTCAAAGTTACAATGGCACTGAAAAAAAGTGATTTACGACTGTTTTTCACACTTACGACCATTGCAGCATCCCCATGATCATGTGATTAAAATTCACACGCTTGGCAACTGACTCGTATTTATGACGGTTGCAGTGTCCCGGGGTCATGTGATCCCCTTTTGTGACCTTCTGACAAGAAAAGTCAATGGGGAAGCCAGATTCACTTAACAACCAGGTAACTAACTTAACCACTGCAGTGATTCACTTAACAAGTGGCAAGAGAGATTGTAAAATGGGGCAAAACTCACTTAAATGTCTCGTTTAGCAACAGAAATGTTGGACTCAATTATGGTCATAAGTCAAGGACTAATTGTATTTTGGAACTTCCAAAAAGCTTTCTTTGCAAATAAAAGACTTACACTTTTACCCTAATAACCAAGTCCGATAACTTACCATTGGGTGGTTCTGTGCCGTTTTCAGCAAGGACAGTGGAAGCTGTAACAGAAAGTTCAACAGCTTGAGAAACATACCCAGAGTATAAATAAACTGCCAGAGCAATTTCATCTTGTAGTTTTTTACAATATTTGCTGTCACTCGTCAGGAGGCTGCCTCACATTGTGAAGTACTCCTCCTGCTCTTAACACAAGTAGAAACGGCATGTTTCATCCCCTCCCAATTTCAAGCTCCTAACATAAACATTCATCTGGATCAAAAACCATCTTCCTATTGTAGACTATTCCCATTATGGTTCCCAAAGCATCTCCAACAACAGTATCAACGGAACAGAAAGATAATTCCCTTGTTTTATTGTGTGTTCATCAGCAGCACATAGTTTTCAAATGGACTAGATCTGAAGATCAAGGTTTTCATGGCCAGCAGCCACTGAAAAATAAATTCTTAAGAGTTTAATTGAGGTATTTTAAGATGGAAATAAGTTTCAACCTCAGCTCTAACATTTATGAAGAAAAGATTCTTCACCACTTTCCTTTAAGCAGCTAGACTAAAGAGTTTTCCATAAACCAACAGATCATGCCTTTCATTGTGAAATACCATTAGTCATAATGGTATTAATCCAATAATCGTTTTTATATTTTGAAAAGTAGGTCAACGTAGTCTCAATTTCTAAAACCAAATTGGAAGAAGTCAAATTAAGAACAATGGACAGACCAAAATTGTATTTAATCCCACATCATAAACAAGATGACTAGCTTTACAACCACCAACATCTTCTTGCTTATGCTAAGGCAGGATACATTTCCAGGAAAATCGTTCAGTTATTTCACAGTAAACCCTAAAATAATCAAAAGTAATATTAGCAGGTTTCTCTAAAGCCCAACGAGGAATAACACTTATCTGAGATGCTTTAAACATATCTCTAAATACATTCTCCCGGTGAAGGCTTTTATAACAATAAAAAGCAGCATTATAAAAAGAAACAGCTATAGACCAAATTAAACTGGAGAGAAATATCTACAGCAGTGTTTCTCAACCTTGACAATTTTAAGGCACGTGGACTTCAGCTCCCAGAATTCCACAGCCAGCAATGCTGGCTGTGGAATTCTGGGAGTTGAAGTCCACATGCCTTAAAATTGTCAAGGTTGAGAAACACTGATCTACAGTTTAATAACATTTTGTTTTCCTGGTTCATATAAACTACTCTCTCACAAAACAAGCTAGCCCCTAATACTTTACCCTACTTCAGTTCCATAATCCTAAGGCTGAAATTACATAACTCGTGCAACTATTGAGTTTTGCTCATGAGTGAAACAGCATAGCCACAAAAGGACAATCCTAAATTCACGCCTGTGAGCAAGCCTCATTAAAGGCAATACAAAATTATTTTAAAATAAATGTGCAGAAACAAGTAGCCCTAATTATCCTTAAGTAACAACGAGTTTAATTCTTATTCTTAACTCTTATTCTTAAACAGAAATAAAAATTTTCTCCGTTAGCTCCCTTTCCCCATTCGCAAGTCTCACCATCCTTCTATCTGCGATGCCACAGTAACGTCAACTTCCACTTCCGCCTGCAGGACTTCCGCCCGCCTTAAGCCAAGGCTTCGCTCTATAGCCAATCAGCATATAGTGCCGGACATCCAATGAGAAGCTTCCGTCGAGGTTCTTGAAATTCAGTCCTAAAGGAGACGTACAGTATTTGATCACTACTGTAGCTTAAGCCTCCCGGGGGGGAGGGGGGGGAGAAGGATAATACCCACAATGCAACGGAGGCCATAACTACGAATTTGTTTCCCTCTGACCGAGGAATGATCTGCGCTTGCGCACAAGGGCTTATCCTATATATGCAGGATAACTTTTTTTGTGGAGAGTTCCTGTGTGTTTTTTTTTGCCTGTATTAAAAAAGAAAGTGTATTTAATTTTAAATAAAACTTTAGCTTCTGTAGTAGTATATAAATAATAATGTGCATATAAAATATTTTGATGTAATTCTATACATTATAGGATTTATAGCATTATTTTGTAAGAATTGTACAGGTCAATACTTCTGAGCTTTGTAACCTCTTTTCTATGACAAGGGAAAATAATGACAGATTTGCTATGATGTCATTCAACATAAATAGTCTACTCTAGCATAATAAAATATAGCAATTTAGCAGAAATGATGTATACAATATTGAAAACTAAAATTGAGAGAATTTATCTCAAAAGGAAGCTATAACAACAACGATGCATTGTGCTGCTTTGGATCAGAGATCTAGCATTTTATATTGGTTGATGTCTTAACACTTCACTATAACCTTGGTAATTGAGCTTTATCTCTTAATATGTGTATATAATTCTCATCATTAATGCTCTTTATGATATTCTCCATGTATGCATCAAATCCCCTGTTTAAAGACTGTTGGGTTATCTATTCAGTCTAATGCCATGAAAAGAAGAATGTCAGACTCCAAAAATGTAATGAAACAGTATATATTAGATGTATATATATTTAGACAGTTGCAAAAGCCAGTCAACGTTGGTTTATTCATAGAATCATATAAATGAAAAGGGTCACTGAAGCTAACCCTCAGTTCATTGCAGGAATCCAAAGGAAAGAATCCTTGACAGATGGCTGTTCAGCTGCTGCTTGAAACAAAATCAGTGAAGAGACTTCAGTGAAACACTCTTTGTCTTGGTAACTGATTCTCCTCTCAACTACATTTTCTACTAGGTGATTCCCCCCCCCCCCTATATAGTAACATTCAACCAAGAGCCATTTTGGTTTAAAATGGTTAAAGCACAAGCACAAGGGCACACACTAGACCAGGGGTCTTCAAACTTGGCCCTTTTATGACTTGTGGACTTCAACTCCCAGAATTCCTCAGCTAGCGTGCCTGGCTGAAGAATTCTGGGGGTTGAAGTCCACAAGTCATAAAAGGGCCAAGTTTGAAGACCCCTGCACTAGACAATGTTTTTTTCAACCTTGGTAACTTTAAGATATGTGGACTTCAACTCCCAGAATTTCTCAGTCAGCATGCTGATTTGAGGAATCAGGGAGTTGAAGTCCCTACATCTTAAAGTTGCTGTAGATTCACTTCAAGCAGAAAGCCATTTGTAGATTTGGGGCCAGTCACTCTCAGGAAAAAAAAGCAATAGCAAACCAAGTCCAAACATATTGCCAAAGCTAGTTACCAAGGCTAGTCCAGTCAACAGGAGTCAAAACTGACTCAAAGACACAGACACAACCCATTCAATTGAAAGGTGCTTTCACGTAAATTTAAGAGCACTTTTTTCTGTGTAACACTAGAGTACAATTATATTCCATCTCAATCAACTTCAAAAAACTAAAAGCCAATCATGCACCTGGCTTACTGTTTTGTGTGATCTGAATCTCAGTGTCTACTTCACAATGGATAGGTGAAAATATTAAAAGTTATTTTAATAAAGAAAACAAGTTCTGTAGCTCTTGTTAGAAATTGCCGATCTTTACAAACCTGATTTAAGACATACTGTATGAGGATGTTTGCAAAAAGTTGTACTATCTTTACTACAGTAAGTTAATGTTTCTTGAGAAGAACAAAGAATACAGTATGATAAATATTCTGTATGTTGCAATGTAAGAAGACCTGGATTCTAGTGCACTTTCACTTGCTCTGGGTGAAAGGGACCTATTGGTTTATCTCAGCATAATCTATTCAGCAGGTTTGTTGTTCTGGAGAAAAATAAGAGGGATTATTACATATACCTTACTGTCTTGAGCTCCTAATGAAAGTTTGGAAATAAACACATTTTACACTTAGCACAAACACCTGAGAAGATATTTGCCAGAGGTAAAGGTTACATACTGTATAAAGATTAAACATCCGGCAGTTTTTTCCTGGAAAAAATAGTCAAGCAGGTCAATGGTATCTGGTAATTGTTTGCTTTAAAATCCTTTTCAGACCATACAGTAATAGTAACAGGAATGCAACCTTTGTTCTTGCTATGATATTGGCTGGGTTTCATTACATAGTTTAGCTGACTCAGCTGCGTATTTCAAGTACTGTACTTAGATAAAGTACAGACAACTGTGACAAACTTTGATTTCTCCTAGGTTAGCTGAGTAATACAGCATATACTTTGTGTGCAAAAGGTCTACTTTATAAAGCCTGGTGGGGCTTAGAAAAATATTTATCCAAAGCCTTAGGGAGGATCTGATAATCCTGGATAAGGCATTCCCATATAATTATTTTGTCAAAGCATCTTTGTAAGAAATGCAGCATATAATGATAACAGCAACAATACCATTATAGAAATAAAAATGGTATTAGACCAAAGGTTAATAGGATTAAGGGGAAAGAACTACAACTCCCAGGGGACTTTGGTATGGAAGTCATGGCCATTAATCAGTGCAGTTTAGCATGGACGATGTGCTGATGGAGCAGAACCTCTGCTGTCCTTCTGTACTGAAGGAGATTGGGAAAGAACGACCTTTGTGACTGCACTATTAAAAAGCAAAGATAAATATGCTGTGCCGCTCTAGCCTTGCAAACGTTCTTCCTCTATTGTTTTTCTTCCCTGCGCCGTGCCTCCGCCTCTTTCTGCTGCGAGTAGGTGGGGCTTGGGTGTGGTCACGCGATCTCCTCCAATGGGCGGGGTCTAGACCCTGAGTGGGGCGGGATTGCTGCTCACTCCTCCAGTCAGTCGCCTCAAGTTGGTCGGGCAGAAGAGAGCGAGGGAAGCAAAGCCATGGAGAAGACCCGGCGGCCCGTAGTGGTGACTGGTAAGGGCGGAGGGAGAGGACAACAGGAAGGGGGGGGCTATGAGGAGTGGGACCATTCCAAAGGGGGAGGGAAGAGGAAGGTTTGAGGGTTGAGCTTCGTCTTCCCCCCGCATTAAGTAAACCCCCAAAATAGTTCCTCTTTTCTTTTGGTCCCAGCACGAACATTAAAGCCTGACATTCCTTTTCCTGGTTAGGGGAGATGTATAATGTAAAATAAGCCCCATCGAGTAATTTGTTCCTCTTCCTTCAATAAACTTTCTCTTTTAAGCATATAACAGAGTGGGTCGTCCTGTGGTTTTTTTTTAAAAAAAACAACTCCACGTGAAGTATGTCTTTTCCCTTTCCCTCCTGAATGTTGCGTTCTCCAGAGTATTGATATTCCGGATTAACTGGATCGAGTAATGCAATCCTCTTTAAAAACGGTCCTGTTTGATTTATCTGTGAATGTACTCAACCCATGACTTGCTCCCCGTGTTCCTCTCAGTGTCTGTCTTTCCCGTAAATCTTTTATTCTCTTTTAATTTTCCTTAGCCTTTCTAACTCGCCTCTTGTAATAATGCCCCCATAGGCTGTTGCCAACTAGTGGGAAGCTTTTTGTCATGTTTGTTTATACTTATTCATAATGCTTCATCTTTCTACAAAAACTTGAGTTTATTAGAAATGAGTGTTTGGGGGTAGATGAGCAAGGAGGCTCCTTAGCAGTGGTTGGTGAAGGGAGAGAAGGAGGAGTAGAAGGAATCCTCTCTGTGTAAGATACACATAGATGTGTGAGGATCTTTTGGTGAGTCTCACTGCACAACCTCGGGTGTGACTTGTTTAGCAGAAGGTTAGGGGTTATTCTGATATAGAAAGTGTGTTGTCACCATTTCAAGGTGGCGCTACTTGTTAGTAATATGGTAGATATTGTGTTTTTTTTTTCATTTTCCCCATTTTAAGGGGGAAACATCTGATTGTCCTCCTGGGAAAAGTGCCATGAAATGTGAAGTATGGACATCTCTGTGTGGACATTTGTCTGTGGGATCTGCATAGAGGTTGTGTGTGAGAGTTTTTCTCCCTCCCCTTCTACCCCTCCCTGCTGTTGGGTACCTTCCTTCTGTTTCCAAAAGACAGTCTGATGGCAGCTGGTAAATCTGAAGTCATTCAAGAGGTCTTGAAGTCACATTTCCCCCACCTCCCCCGCCTGTGTGATTCCCTCCGGGTCCTGAGCTCCTAAATCAGTGTAGCCCCCCAAACCACACCCTGGTAACAGTAGAATTGCTTTCAAAGAAAGAGTAACTGCTGAAAGCTCCCTCAGCCCTGCAGTGGTTATTTGAAACAGCAAGTTGGGCTAGAGAGGAGGGGCAACATGAAGTTGCGGGAAGGAGAGGCCCATCTCTGAAAGGCTTGCGGGGCACAAAAGGGGGTTGCTGTTAGTGGTGAGGCTGCATGAGAACAGTCTTTTGACCGGGGGACTGACGGACGCAGCTCCACCTGCCCTGCCCCATCAGTGGCTGGAGTTGTGGCAGTAGGGAGGCGCCCTTGGGATTTACTGTTACGGCCTTAATTGGAGCTGAACGAGTCCAGTGAACTCTTGGCAAGGGTGCCAGGCGATGATGTCCCCTTGCAGAGGCTGAAATGGGAGCTTTCTGGCAAGCTGCAGTTCATGCTCTGTGGTGTGAAGTATCCACACACCTGTGGAATATAGGATACAAAGCAGCTTTTTTTTCAGACCCATTTTTCAGACCCTGGTCAGGATAAAATCTTCAAATGGGTACCTATGTTATTGGCATGCTCCGATGCACCAACTCATGCCAAGTGCCCTGAATAACATGTGCGTGTCCGTGTAGCTCCTTTCAGGATCAAGATAATCCCATAAAAATCTGGCAGCTGGGAGCAGCTGGTTTCCTGCTAATTAGCCTTGGCTGCTTCTAGTGAGGGTGCCCAAAGGGATTCCAAAATACTCTATTGAATTCTTATCTGATAGCAACAGCCATGGTTAAGCAAGAAAGAAGGGAGCACAAAGGAGCCTTTTGCCTGAGGGTGGGGGGGAGCAAGGGGGGGCTTCTCTTCATTTCTTGGTGCCTTGGCTATGTAGCCGGCACCTGTAGAATGTTCAGTTCCCTGGAATTACACTTAGCTTTTACAACTATATTTTCAAAAAGAGGATAGATTTTTAGAGAATTAAAAACTTTGGTTTTAAACAGATGTACGTAGTATCTCTGGTGAGTACAATCAGGCACAGAAACCTTGGTGAAAACCTTTTTTTTCTTCCTGACAACAAAGAATATGGAGAACTATATATAGTGGGCATGCTGGCAAAATACTGCCTTTTGGAGAATGTCTTTGAGGCATTGGCATATGTTGACAGATGTGACTGGGTCAAATAATAAGTCTGACTGAGTTCACATGTTGCACTAAATGGAATTAGTTTAACCATGGTATAATCAATGAACCACAATAGGTTTAATTTACACCACATGTTGAGTCATAAATAGTGCTTTACAAAATGCAGCGGCTGAGTTCACACAACACAGCCAAAATGATTCAAACCACATTGCAGTATAGTATGTGCAGCCCTTCTACTCTAAATAAGCCTTTTGTCTTGTAATCTAATCTTAGAAATCTTGTTTTTAATACTTTGGTATCTCTTTGCTCTAAAATGACACAGTCCAGATCAATTGCTTCTGGAATTATACATGGTAGTTTCCATACATCACTGGGACACGAAGGACTTCCTAATTTTTTTGTGTTTATGTATAACAGTTTGTAATGATACAAACAACCATTTGGAAATAAGGCTTTGTGTCTTGCTTGAATACTTATACCTGTTCAGCTATGATGGATAACAATGCTGCTGTAGGCACTCAAGAGTCTTTTGTGGTAATGTTAGGAAAAGCTTTTTTTATATATATATTTAGGCGTTTTTGAATGCTGTGCATTACTTTCTGGCAGGCTATTTTTTCCTTGATTCTTCCACCTGCTGCTCTAGGAGCAATGGGGCAGCCATTCAAGCACAATACAGGTAATCCTCAACTTACAACCACAATTGCTACCAAAATTTCTGTTGCTAAGCAAGGCAGTTAAGTGAATTCTGTCCCATTTTACAACCTTTTGCCACAGTGGATAAGTGGATCGTTGCAATTGTTCAGTAAAACTGGCTTCCCCCATTGACTCTGCTTGTCAGAAGCTGTCTGGGAAGATGACAAATGGCCATCACATGACCCTGGGTCAGTGGTGACTGTCATAAATACCTGCCAGTTGCCAAGCGCTGGAATTTTGATCCCATGACCATGGGGATGCAGCAACCGTCGTAAGTTTGAAAACTGATTCTAAGTCACTTTTTTCAGTGCGGTGTAACTTCGAACAGTGTCTAAACCAGGGGTAGGCAACCTTGGCTCTTTTATGACTCGTGGACTTCAACTCCCAGAATTCCTGAGCCAGAATGGCTGGCTCAGGAATTCTGGGAGTTGAAGTCCACGAGTCATAAAAGAGCCAAGGTTGCCTATCCCTGGACTAAATGAATGGTTGTAAGTTGAGGACTACCTCATTGAAAAAAAATGTGACATCTCACCCGTCTCGAACATTTTAAACCTTTACTTGGGGTAGAACATCTACAAATACCAGTTATGGCTTGCTAGTTAACAAAGTTATTCATTAAAAAAAGCCAAAGCATGCCATTCTTCCTTTGAGTTTCAGACACTGTATATTCTTTTGGAAATCTGCTTTTCCCAGAAAGTGCTTATTGTGTAAAACCAGATATGGAAGACTTCACACCAAATAGATTTAAGGAAAGTTTTCGTTTTCTTTGATAAACTGCTGAGCAACCAATTCTCTGGGAAATTAGAAATAGCGAATATAGAAGTGTACCCTAGAGATATAAACTGGGTTTATATGCAATGTTTACTAACCATTGTTTATTGAATTAGCTAAAACATAAGCCCTGTCTTATAAACTATGACAGTGGTGGCGAACCTATGGCACGGGTGCCAGAGGTGGCACTCAGAGCCCTCTCTGTGGGCATGCGCACCGTCGCCCCAGTCCTAGGCCTTCAGCTGAGTTTTATGGTTTTATAACTTTAGGCCTCCACCGCCATGTGCAAAAAAAAAAAAGGTTCAATCAGTCAATTTCAACTTCTCACGGGAAAAAAAAAGTTCTTGCAAAGTTGGAATTGATTGATTGAACTTTTTAGTCCCACCCAGTCTGCTGTTACCACTGCAGCCATGCCCACACAATGGGCCACACCCACCTGGCACTCGACGATGCATAAGTGGGTTTTGGGTTGCAGTTTGGGCACTCAGTCTCTAAAAGGTTCACCGTCACTGAACTATGATGACAAACCAAATTATGGCTTAGTGCAATAGACACCTTGTCACTCTGTGCCTCAGTTTTACATAGTTTGAAAAGCTTTGAAGCGGAAATTGACTGACCTCTTGTGAATGCTGCCAATCTCTTGGGCTGGGAGTGTGTTTAATGTTGTTATATTTATATTTTATTTATTAAATTTATATGCCACCCATCTCACTGTCCAAGGCGGAAGAACAGTGGGGAGATCAAAGCAAGAAAGATCGGAAGGCAACAAATGTGAGCAGGAGAATTCACCCATGATACATGTGCAATGCTTTGGAGTAAAATCCCATGGAGATTAGTGTATAAGCATAAGAGTGTGCAGAATGGGTAACTGATCTAGCACAATATCAAGGTATATTTATGCTGATGTGAAAAGTTATTCTGAGGACAATACATTCATTTTAATTTTATATTGCTCTTCCTCCTGAAGATGTACAACAGTGTTTCTCAACCTTGACAATTTTAAGGCATGTGGACTTCAACTCCCAGAATTCCACAGCCAGCATTGCTGGCTGTGGAATTCTGGGAGTTGAAGTCCACATGCCTTAAAATTGTCAAGGTTGAGAAACACTGATGTACAATATAAAGAAGTAGAATATAAAACAGTGCTGTATGTTTGACTTTAAAGAACCACAGTGGTTTTTTTAAGTAATGGACTCTTCAGATTGTGGAAGAAGAAAAACCTAGTTTGGATCTTTGGGGGGAAATGTAATAAACATTCAAAAATATTTTTTATTCCATATCAGGTGACTCTGAACCACGATGTACTGCATAAGGAGCTGTTTGATATCACAGCAAACTATTGATTTAATGAAGGAGAATATTGTAGTTCAAGGTTGAAAAGAGCACTGATGATATTACCTAGTCTGGGTAATGAAATGTTTGCAAGAAAACAAGCAAGAGCATCAAGGACCCCCTCAAACGTATTGATTTGTTTGGGCCAAATCTGTATATACTATCTGGGTAGTAGATCTCCATTTTTTTCAATTAGAGAGAAATCACTTTGTTCTCCTTGCTATGTAAAGTCCCAACCCTCTTAAAAGTGTCAGGCCTTGATGCTTAGGCATTTAGTATATATTTCCTTATTTGTAGAAATTCCCAAGATAGTTAGACCTATGCCTCTTTTCTTAAGTTTCATTGAACAAAGTATCCATTATTTTCTAAGTACAGCAAGCGTGCCCAGGATCAGGCTTGGGTGTGAGTGAGTAGGTTTAAGGAGAGCATAGATCATGTAAATTTGGTCTTCTGGCTAAATTGATTAATCAGGAGAAGACATCTGCCTGTAAAATTAATTGGGCTAATATAATAAATAAGCCTCTCTGTGTGTATGTGCGTGTGTATAATCTGAATTCCATCACATTCTTGGCTAATCTCTGTAGCTGGTTCTAACTAACTTGCTATCAATCACATTTTGAACAGTCAGAGTAAAGATCTATTTTTCCCCCCAAACTTTTAAAATGGGTATTTTTAGAGAAAGTCATGGGTTCAAAGAACCCTATGCATGTCCCACCTAGTTCACCTATCATATTAAGCTGTGATTTGCTTAATTATAATAAAATTCAATTGTGTGTATGAATTTAGTGACCAAGTTTGTATAAGATAAGCCAAAAGTAAATTAAAAATCCCTTGCACTAGTATAGTAGATGAACTCAAAACAGTAAGAATTTCAGGATGGTGACATAGAAGCAGGAAACTGATCTTCAAATCCTTACAGAAAGTTCATTAGGTGCCTTTACCTTTTTAACCTCTTTTAAAAGGTAGTTGGGAAGTAGGAAGAGAGAACCAGTCCTGGTGAGAGAAAGAACGTACATGACCTATGATAATCATTTGCTATATATATATATATATTTTGATGTTCATGTCCTATAAAATGGCCATTTTTGACTGCTCATCACTGCCTAAAAACAAAATGCCATGATAAAAAAAAGAATTTTTTTTCCTATGATTTCAGGGTTCGGTCCATTTGGAGAGTATTCTGTCAATGCCAGCTGGATCGCAGTTCAGGTAAAAGACATATTTTCAAATGCTTCAGTCACAAATAGCATTACTTTTTAATAACCATTTCTCCAAAAAAATATATCCAAAAACGATTTAAGTTAGATTTCAAGGAAGTGATCCTTCTTGACTTTTTTTTAAACATAAAGCTAGCCTTAAAGTCAAATTTGATTAGTGGTGACTGGATCTATTCAGTTTTAATGACAGAGTTATGGTAGTGCTTTGTCCTTGCCTCCTCCTGGCCTGTCATCTTGACTTCACAGTTTGGAGTATGTCAGGAACTTACTGACTCCTCTAGAGAGTAATACTGTAATGATTTCTTGGGAAAATAGGAATGTTTTCTGTTCTGTGTAATGATTATCTGCATAGATGAAGATTCTTATCAGAAGTTAAGATTCTTTCAGTTAAATAATCCTAACCAAATTATTAACTAAAACTCATCAGCTAAAACACTTTAATGAGCCAGTGATTCCGAAGGGATAAATCAGCATTTCCTGTTTAGATCATATTTGTTGATAGCATTTTGGAAAAGGCACAGCACCATGTGAGTATGAGGGAATGTGTCTCTGCTATGTTAGGGTTAGTCCTGTGTTATTTAAAACCCCTGAAATAATTACAAAGGGCAAAGAAATAATCACTGACATCCATTCAGCTGGGAAAAGTTTTATATCCAATTTTTGTACCTTTTCCTTTTAAATGTTTACTATTCCTATTTCAGAAGGTCTAGGAAAATGGGAATGACTTTGCCATGTGAGATGAGATTGAATAAAGGCCACGATGAAGAAAATTACTAGGATTGTGCACTTTTTGCAAAATAATTTGGAAGTATTTTGGCCCTTGGAAGAGTGTATCTTTTTTTGGCTGTTTGTGAAAGCAGCCCAACTTTTTTAAGGTTTCCATGTGAGCATGAGAAAAGTGTGGCTGCATTAATGAACTGCAAGAGACGCACCCTTTCAGTAAGTTCCAAAATACTTCTTCCAAATCATTTTCAGAGTAAGCAAAGCATGAAAATTACTAGCAGACAGCTGCTGTCGGCTGTGAGATTTGTAGGGCAACAAAGTGAATGATCAAGAAGGGTCTTTGGTTTTCTCCTTCCCATGTTTTTCACAGAGGGAACTAAGCTGTGGAACTCAATACCGGTAGTACAGGATGAGACCACTGACTTAACAACCCACCAGTGTGGGGAGCCTTAACACTTTAATCTGTGAATGACTGTTCGCTACAGGAATACCTATCCTTGATTCAGCGATGCCCACCTGATGTCAAAAATAAATCAAGACAGCAACCACAGTGGTGTAATTGAAGTTCCACCCATTTTTTTTTCTGTGCAATGTGCATAAACCAATAAACTTAGTTTAGTCTAAACTTAATGGAACTTCCTTAGAAACATTCGGTTGGAAGCCTTCCGAATAAATGGCTGTTCGGCTCCTGCTTGAATATATCCAGTGAAGAGTATATCTATTAGATCTCTGGGTAGTTGATTTAATTGTCAGACTGCCTGTACTGTAGGGATTTTTTTTTTTTGCAATATTCAAATGGAATCGGCCGCCCTGTGTCTTAAATTCATGATTCTGGGTCCTGCACTCTGGACTGATAGCAAATGTATTGGACTTCTTCTCTTTTCAGGTGCCTGAAGAATCCAGGTAGATTAGGGGCAGATTACCTGGTTTGGGGACCCAAAAGTGCTTTTTCAAAAGGCAACTGGACTTTGTTTTTTCCTTGAAGACGTTTCACCTCTCATCCAAGAAGCTTCTTCTTTGATAAGAACTGAAACATCTTCAAGAAAAAAACAAAGTCCAGTTGCCTTTTGAAAAAGCACTTTGGGGACAACCATGACCTGGATGACTGAGAATCTCCATAGACATTCCGCTTTGGGGAGTGTAGCAAGGCAGAATGGTGGTCTTCATTCTCTGCTTTTGGGCTTCCAAGAAGCGTCTGCCTTTAAAACAAAATCCCTGTTGTTTACCCTTTCATCTTCCACCTCTTGTAAACCCTTCCCTTAGCATGCTGTCATCATTAAAGCAGTTTTTGTGATGTTGTCTCCCCCCTCTAGTTTTTACTTGGAAAAAAATGATGGTGGAATGTTTGCAGAGGCTAAGGAGTAGGCAAAGATGAATGAATGTTCTTTCAAATCAGTGAAGATGAAACTGACCCAACTCCAGGCATGAATACGAGGTCTTCTTTGTCTCTGTTACACAACTGTGTAACATCCACCTCTGCCAGACACCTGTTGATTGCAGTGAAGTTGATTTGTGCTCCTGGTTGTGTGTGTAGTGGGGATGTGGAGGGGGTAAGGCTCAAAGTTCTTCTTTTGGCTACTCAGCTGGCTACATTTGATCATCTGGCACAGCCAGCCGTTAACAGCTGGTAAGAGGTTTTCTGTAGGGTTGAAAGTGCCATTGATGTGAAACCGAATGATGTTATTTTGTCAGGGTTACAAGGATCTGTTGAGCAAGCAGCTTCCCCAAGGGAAGGCTGGGCACATGAGCGTGACTTTGATTGAACAGCAGCGTAACAATTTGGGATGGGTGGAGGAACACAGTTTTGCCATGACCTATCATACAAAATTCTGCCTGAGCTCAGTGACCACATCCATGCCCTTCAGTTAAAGGACAGCCCAGTAAACTAGAATGCTAATATCGGAACCGTGAAGTACCAGTAGTAACAACAACAACAACAACAACAATAATAAAGTTGGAAGGGACCATGGAGGTCATCAAGTCCAACCCCCTGCTCAGGCAGGTAACCCTTTACCATTTCGGACAAATGGCTGTCCAGTTTCTTCTTAAAAACTTCCTGTGTTGGAGCATTCACCGCTTCTGGAGGCAGGTTGTTCCACTGGTTAATTGTTCTAACTGTCAGGAAGTTTCTCCTTAGTTCTAGGTTGCTTCTCTCCCTTGATTAGTTTCCCTCTTCTTTGTGGTAACCCCTGAGATATTGGAACACTGCTATCATGTTACCCCTACTCCTTCTCTTCATTAAACTAGACATACCCAATTCCAGCAACCGTTCTTTATATGCTTTAGCCTCCAGTCCCCTAATCATCTTTGTTGCTCTTCTCTGTACTCTTTCTAGAGTCTCAACATCTTTTTTACATCATGGTGACCAAAACTGGATGCAGTCCTCAGCTTACGACCCCAGTTGACCCCAAAATTTCTATTGTTAAGTGAGAAATTTATTAAGTGAGCTTTGTACCCTTTTACGACTTTTCCCACCACATTTGTCAAGTTGAATCACTGCAGTTCTTAAATTAGTAACGCGGTCATTAAGTGGATCTGGTTTCCCCATTGACTTTGCTTGTCAGAAGGTTGCCAAAGGGGATCACATGATCCCGGGACACTGCAACGGTCATAAATAGGAGTCAGTTGTCAAACATCCGAATGTAAATCATGGGATTATCAGGATGCTGCAAGGGTCATAAGTGTGAAAAATGGTCATAAGTCACTTTTCTCAGTGCGGCTGTAACTTCTAATGGTCACATAATGAGCTATTGTAAGTTGAGGACTATCTGTAATTTGAAGGTACCATAGATATGTGCTGTCTTAATTGTTTAGGCATCTAAGCTCCTGGAAATACATATATAATCTAGATCAGGGCTCCTCAAACTTGGTCACTTTAAGACTTATGGACTTCAACTCCCATGCTGGCTGGGAAATTCTGGGAGTTGAACTCCAAAAGTCTTAAAGTGGCCAAGTTTGAGTAGCCCTGATCTAGAAGATATCTGTTAATACTGCCAGTCTTAAGCCATGCATGAATATTTACTGTAGCCCGATGCTGACCTTACCTTGAAGTTAACCAACTCAGGTTTCTCTAGCTAGGATCCCATTACTAGATTTCACATGCAGTGTTGGTACTCCAACACTAAAAGTTTTTATGGTAAGAGATTGGACAACCATTAGTCTGAAATAATACAGGGTTTCTGGAGGTTGGACTAGAACAAGGCTTTTCAACCAGTGGTACAGGTACCACCTGTGGTACATTGGCACCTGGCAGGTGGTACGCGACCATCCTAGAAAAGTGGTAGCAGGGGAGGGAAATGAGCTGAACCGGAGGTAGCACCGCACAAGCCTGAGCGAGAGATGGCTGGAGCTGCAGGGCTGTCAGGGCTCAGCGGAAGCACCAGGATCAGTGCTTCTTCGGGACTGTCAGGGCTCAGTGGAAGCGCCAGGATCAGTGCCAGGCTCCAGCTGGAGCTCGGCGCTGATCCTGACGCTTCTGCTGAGCCCAGAAGAAGCGACGATCAGCTGAAATGTTGTAGCATCTCCAGGGTCTTGTAATTTACATTCAGATGCTTGGCAACTGATTCATATTTATGACGGTCACAGTGTCCCAGGATCATGTGAAGTTACCAAAACCTGCTGCAACCACCCAGCAGACTGGGGGAATAAAAACCAAACACCCCCCACCCCACCTCCACTGCCAATTCTCAACAGAAATGTTCACAACAATGAAAACCTCGGACAGGAGGAAGAGCGCCACTGGGTGGGCAGGCAGGTGTCTTGCTCGGCTGTGGCTTGGGGGGCACTTTTTCAGTGCCATTGTATTTTGAACAGTCACTAAGCGAACTGTTGTAAGTCGAGGACTACTAGTACTTCATCACTTTTTTCCCTTTTTTTTGGTCATCAAGTTTTTGACACCTTGCTAGGCGACTGGTGGTACTCGGATATTGCCATATCCTAAAAGTGGTACAATGGGTGAAAAGGTTGAAAAGCTTTGGACTAGAAGACCTCTGAGGTCCCTTCCAACTTTGTTATTCTGTTGTTTTAATTTTGCATAGTTCCTTTCTGGAAATGTCCTCCGTTGTCCCTCTTTCCCAACACACATTTATTTCTTGGTGAATTCTGAGTGTCTTTCAAATTTACAACCACATCAAGTTGCCTCTATTCCAAGCTCTATTTTAAAGTTTAAGATATTTTCCCCGAACCCCCTACACCTCCCCCCAAAAAATTATCATCTTGCTTTACTTTTTTCTTTTTTATCCTGGGTGTAAATCCTGTTCTCTTCTTTCC